TAAGTTTTTTCCCCGGTGCAATATAGGTTTCGTCGCAGGTGATCGTGTACCACTATTCTGCTTCTGTCACGAGAGGAGTGGACAAAAGCAATTGATCAGGGTGATGCAGTGGACGCAGTGTATCTCGACCTCCAAAGCACGCGACCGAGTGAACACAAAGTACAGCTGAGGAAATTGCACAATTGCGGAATTCGGGGACTTGTACTGGGTTGGATAGAAGACCCTCTTCGACAAAGCGCTATGGCAGTTGGGGGTTCTGAGTCACTTTCTGATCCTGTCAGCCTAGCCAGAGGAGTTCTACAGGGATATGTGCTTAACCCTCAACTTTTTCTTGTTTTCATAAACGATCTAACAGACATTCCAGGGTAACAAACGTTAATGTTGGCATATGATGCAAAAATACGGAAAACAGTGACAAAACCTGAGGACTCACTGGCACTTCAGAAAATACTTCATGCTGCTTATCAATGTTCGATCAAAAACGTCATCGAATTCAAAATATCAAAATGTACGGTCGTATCCATTCGCCACAAAACTCGGCCTCCGTACTTCCTACGATATCAGCAACTTTCGTATACCTCGAATGAGAAGGATCTTGGTGTTCATTGTTCAAGACGACCTACGTTTCTCTTTAAATTGCTCTAAGGCGTCACCCACCGCTGCAAGACATGTTGGTCTGCTAAAGCCAGTGTTTGGCAGATTTGAACTTATGCTGTTCCTATGTTTGCTTTCAGACTACATTCGACTCCACATAGAGTATGCCATTCAAGCGTGGAAACCGTGCCTGCAACGAGATCATAGTTTTCTGGAACGGTCACCAAAAAGGTCAATGGACCGCATTCCAAGACTTGTGTGGAAAGACTGGATTCATTGCAGTTGTACTTCACACAGCATCGCCGCATTTGAGGGGGGGGGTTGGTTGGTTTTAGTGGATCAAACAATGCAGATCCCTGTTTACCCATTTCGTTCACTGGTAGTTTCTTCATCCAACCCTCACCTCAGGGGTCACATATTCAAATTGATGTTCCAAAAATGTCGACTAGGATGCCGGTGTAATTCGTTTGCTCTCAAACATTGCAGTATTTGGAATTCTCTACCACTTCAAGTTGTTTCTGCACCTACAACCTATTTTTTCAAGTACTGGATGAGACATGGTCAGGTTTTAACTTTCGACATCCATGGTAGTACAAGGAACAAAGAAAATTTGTTACATTCCTTATCCTTCTATGAACCATAAATCGATCAATTTGTGCTAAACCCTAAGGGACAAGAAAAGCAACCACTTGTAACTGATTGCCATGATAAAACTGTGAGTTTGACTCTACCCGTAAGTTCAAGGTCTCACAACCGTAAAGTAGAACTGATCGCAAAGTGACGCAATATAGGCAACTTTTCAACATAAGTGAAACACCACGTCAAAGGTGTTTCAATCCTGTGTATTGATTGCCCACGGATTATAACACCAGTATTGAGCTGATTTCAATATATTAACTTCAAATGGGTTTGTTAAGAAAGTTAAATGTGTAGTACAGTGTGCTGTGCAACACTTGCAGTTCGCATATAAGCGTTGTGGTAACATCACTGACAGAGCCCGCAGAAAGCCTCACGGTTTATAGGCCGTGCAATACAATAGCTCTGTCTACGCCGCATTGCAGGGGTCCGGTGGAGAAACCGGACAAAGGGACATGCAGAGGTTAGTGTGGCGGCGAGTCAGACCTCCGAGATGAAGCCAGCGAAGCGGCTACGCGGTACAGTTTATGGGCATTGGGTCATGGGCCATCAGCATAGATCAAACAACAGGCAAATGGTGCAAACAGAAGGCATGTGACTAGAAGGACGAGAACGGTGATTGCTTGATATCCGTTTGACCAATGGTATTCCTATTTACACCTTATTTAATTCAACTGAATTCTATGAATAAAGGAACCGCCATTTCTGTGGCTCTTCTCCTGCATTTTGGTGACGGGAGTTTCCAGCGTACAATTGCGCTTCATTTGCAAAAATGATTCGTGATTCCTAGTCCGTACCTACTTCGATTACTACAATTAGGCACAGAGTTTTAGGTCGCGGTCGCCCACTGGAGTAAGTGCTCAACCAACAGATTGCGTTGGTTGTGATATGTGTTGCCCATGTCACGGTGCGCGATGTTCGCCGAGGCAGGTATTGGGTGAAACATGTCAAGATNACATGTCAAGATCTGTCAAACTAAGACCTGGCATAAGGGTATGAAAACCCTGATCAAGGGAATCGGTTATATAGGTCCCGTTAGGCTCCAAGGATGGGAACCCCGAGACTATGGTAACCGGTGGTTAGAGACCCTGATGATATGGCTGAGTGCCGCACACCGTGGCACTTGTACATCCAATCATTTTTATTGCAATTAGTCTATATGAATTCTCTATCTTCTCTTTGACTCTGCTTTCAACAGTCCAATTTTCAATCTGCTCTACTGTTCGAATGGGTAGCCAAATGACAGCAACCAAAACGACCGCACGAATGTTCGTTGTTAATGGTTGTAAGAACTGAAACCTGAAATTATGGGCGGTTATGAAATGATCACCTTCATCTTCAAGATAAAAGCGAACGCAACCAGCCAACCGTGAAAGTCGAAAGGTGATAACGGAAATGCGTTGTTTAACCGACATTCATGGGGAAAATCTTAATTATCATTAGACGTACTTTATGGATGCCTGAGGGCCACATAAATTACGAAGATTAGACCTACCCGTTTCGTATCAGTCAAGGGCTTGGGGGTAAACGTGATAGTGCACGGTCAATTGAGAACGTATCGGTACGCTCGACCTGTGCGTGTGCATGTGCTTGGCTCATCTCGTTCAGATGTTTCTAATGCACGAAGTAGGTGAGTGTGTTGACTGAATTACGCATATTGCTCCATCAATCCGAATCATGGCTCAT